TAGAAGGAAATGAACTGAAATGTTAACCATGGTGTTGGTTTCAGAGGGAAGAATTACAGGTAATTGTTACTCTCTGCTTTGTTATTTTCTTTGTGCAATACAGAGAAGGAAAAAGAAAAACAAAGCATTGGACCAGCATCCAAAAGATTTCTTGTTCTTGCCTTGTTCCTCCATGTGATTGGCTGGGTGGTCTCAGGCACTTCCCGACTCTGGATGTGATTTTATTATGTGTGGTGTGATTGGAGGGAAATGTTAGTTGTGCCACCCTAAAAGGTGGTTCTCAGAATCAGAGATGCTGAGCCATGGTGCCTCTCCATGAAATTGACACCAGAAGATAAAGCTGGGTGACTCCCCAGAGGAAGCCTGAGTATCAGGCAATCGCCCTATGTAACACTTGACCATTTACAAAGAAAACTTCCCAAGTATTGTGTCTCATATGTTTGTGACCTGCTTTGTATGTACCCTCTGTTACATTAACACTTCTTCAACCGTCTTATTTCTTCAGTGGGAAGATGGTATAGCCTGGGTATTGGAGCATGGACTTTGGAGTTAGACTTGACTTTAAATCTGCCACCCACTTGTGACTCCCCACAGGCTACTTAAGGCGTCTAACCCTCAATTTCCTAATCTATAAAATGGGGCTAATACTACCTACTCAAGGACTTGTTGGGAAGTTCAGAAGAGACATTGTACATAAACCCTCACATATTTCTGACTCATAGCCATCACAGTTGCGTTTCTGAGGCTGTAAATCTTTACAGAAGCAGACTGCCTTACCTTTCTTCTGCGGAGCAGCTTGTGGGTTCGAACCACTGACCTTTTGGTTAGCAGCCAAATGCCTTAACCACTACACCACCAGGGCTCCTTAATCAACACTTGGTCAATGTTATTTTATATTATTATGTTCTATTACATGATATGATATGATATGATATGATTATAGTTAATATTTATTTATTAATAAGTAATAATTATTTATAAATAAATGTGATTATATACAAACCAAAACAACAAACTCACTGCCATCGAGTCAGATACGACTCAGAGCGACCCCTCCTTGGGTTTCCAAGGTGGTATCACTACAGAAATAGATTGCCTTCCTTCCGAGGAGTGGCTGGTGGGTTTGAACTGCCACCCTTCTGATTAGCAGTCAAATGCCTTAGGCACTATGCTACCAGAGCTCATTCCGTTTCAGAGAACATAATAAATTTATAGAACTCCACACAGAGTGAAATGTAGCAATATCACTCTTTATGTAATTGTATTTATTCTTCTATTGGTCCCCAGAGCTCACTGCAGACAAGGTCTGGGATTATGGGTTTGACACACAAGGTCACCTTCAGCCTACTTTATTTCCTCGCTTTTATAGATTGAGATCCAATCTCCTCTCCACTCTCATCTTCCCAAATCTCCAAGACCCTAATCTTTTCTTCTCTCTGCCAAGCTTAACATTAAAATTGGCAATTCCACCATGGCCAGGCAAGCAGCCGCTGTATTTTAGAATCTCCGAACTCTGGTTGCCCTGCCAGGGCCTGAGCTTATTCCATTCTTGCTTGATAATAATACTTTACAGCAGATCATGTTTTTTATTTTTCAAAGCATTTTCGTATCTGCTGTTGCCTTTAGTCATCCTGTGGAGCGGACAGGCAGGCCTTGTTATTTCCCATGGAGGACAGCATGGTACCCAAAGTGGGATTCCGGGCAAGTGACACTATTCTGTAGTTAATAGGTTTGGAAAACACTGGATTCAGCAAAACTAACCAGGGTCTCAGGGTCTTTGACATTAGCATGCAACGTGATTCCTCAAGAGCCGATAAGTGTTTCCCAAGCTTTTCTCACCAGATTGTACTTCTCTTCCAGAATATTCTATGGAACTATTGCTCCATGGAACCCACTTTGGAAAACACTCATGGCGTGGTAAGAGAAAGGGCTTTGGAGTGAGGTAGAGTGAGGTTCAAATCCAGATACCATCCTTGCTAGCTGAGTGACTTTGGGCAAGTTTCCTCACCTCTCTGATCCTGAGCTTCCTCACCTGTAAAATGTAGATGGTGATACTGTTGTGAAGATTAAGACAGTAAAGTGCTTAGCAAAACGCCTACCAGCGATAAATACTCAATATTCCTTAGCTTCCTCTGTATGATCCCGGAGCGCTCTGGTGGTATAGTGGTTAAGGCATTTGGCTGCTAACCAAAAGGTCAAGGGGTTCAAATCCACCAGCCACTCCTCAAAAGAAAGATGAAGCAGTCTGCTTCCTTAAAGATCTACAGCCTTGGAAAGCCAACGGGAGTCGCTGTGCATCAAAACTGACTCGATGGCAGTGGGTTGGGCTTGGTTTATATGACCCAGGAGAGAAATGGCCCTCAGAGAGGTTAATTGTCCGGCATTGCACAGCCCAGCGTTACACAGCTATTTAGTGACAGGCTGAGTATAAAATCCAGATTCCAGGTCCCAGTTCAACGCCCTTTGCAGTGTATGGGGCTGTTCTCATTTGGACATCTTACCCTGTTATTCTCCTCTCCTTCCCTTACTCCTGTTCACCACCCTTGGAATTTTAATTCCATTCCTTCTGGCAGATTTTGAGGTTCTGCAAGCCTCCAATATAAGTGAAAGCACTCAGCGAACTGCTGTAGGAATCTTAGTTATCATCACTGATACCCCGCCCCTTCTGGGATGGCCTCACGGCCCCTCACCTGGGCCTCCTCAGAGCCCGGCCGCACCGCCCGCTCACCCTCTCTCCCTGCTTCCCAGGTCCCATTCCCTGTTGCTGGGATACGACAGCGGCCGCAGGCTGCTCCCTGACCCCCCGGGAGGATGAGTGGCTGTGGGAAGAAGGCCCTGACCCTGCTGAGCAGCGTCTTTGCCATCTGCGGCCTGGGTCTCCTGGGCATCGCCGTCAGCACCGACTACTGGCTGTACCTGGAGGAGGGCGTGATTCTGCCACAGAACCAGAGCACAGAGGTCAAGATGTCCCTCCACTCCGGCCTCTGGCGAGTCTGCTTCCTCGCTGGTAAGGGCGCGGGGCCAAGGGGTGGGGGACAGCCCTGTCCGAGAGAGAGAGAGGCAGCCACCCATCCAACCTCCTGAAAACCTGCCCTAGGAGACAGCTCCCCAGACAGTCCCCATAAGCCCTGGGCAATGCTCTCTCTGGCATCAGGCTGCTGGGCCAAACCAAGCTCAGACCCACAATGGCACCCTAGACTTAGATTCCCCCCTCTCTTAAAACATGAATGTAGCTTTGCCTCCCCCATACCCTACCTCTCAGGGCTGAATGGTGAAGGACATCACACAGGTCTAAAAATGCCCTTGCACAAATGAGCTCGTTGAATTATTCATCCCATTTGATCCTCCAACAACTTTGCAAAGGAGAACTTCTTTCCTTTTGACACATAAGGAAGTGAAGATTCAAGAAGGCTAAGTCAGTACCCTAATTCAGCATCGCTTGCGTCCACTAGTTTCCAGAGTGAAAATACTTAGCAATTTCTCTGTTGCTGGATCCATCAAGTGGCAGAGATGAAACTCACATGCAGGTTCTTCAGACTCTGCAAGATGCTGCAGGTTTGGATCCCAAGTCTACTCAGACCTCCCACCAGCTCACTGGGGCTTCTCTGAGCCCTTGTGGTTGCTGCTCTCATAGCACTGCCCTAGTGGGAACCAGCCTGCACATGAGAAGCATCTGTGCACCGTGCAAGGCTGGCCCCAGCTGGACTGGAATCACCACGATGTGGTCACTGAGCCTTTGTGATAGGGCTCTGTAACCTATATGTGCATTGGGAAAAGGGCTAACTTGGCTTTTGCAGCTTTTTGCCTTCTAGATTTATGCTAAGGCTTTGGGGGATGGACAGTGGGATTGGCCCACAGCTCAGTCCACTGAGCCAGCCAGTATGGAGCAGGAAGGAAACCTCTAGGCTTGGCTTCCCACTCACTTGTTGAGTCTGCTTTGGACCCAACACTGACCTCCCCTTCCACTGGCCCAGACTATATGGCATTGGTCTCTACCTAAATCTGAAGCAGAGTTTGAAGTCACCCAGGATCTGCCTTCCAAAGTGGTGGGCAAGGCTTTTGGGGTTCTATTTCATGACATCAGAGCCAGGCATGCAATGTCATTGGCCCAGTCTTCCCCCAAAGCAGTAGCGTGGCCACCAGAGACTTCAGTCACCACTGAAAGTTTGCAGTGCTGATGTCTTTGCATATGACTGATGGGTCCATCTTCCCAAAGATGCTTTTCCAGGAAAGATGTGAGGTGGGACATGCTCCCACCCCTGTTTGGGCCACCAGCCACCTAGGGTTTGGATCCTCCTAGGGCTTGGATCCAGCCTGTGTAGCAAATACACAGTGGGAGCAAAGATCCTCAAAGCACTTGCCATTTGAATGTGCTAACTTCAAATCCATGTTCAGGAAGGAATTGGAAGTGTTGATGCATTCTCGTCTCTGCAGGTGAGGAGCGGGGCCGCTGTTTCACCATTGAATACGTGATGCCCATGAACACTCAGCTGACATCCGAGTCCACTGTCAGTGTTCTAAGTAGGTGCCTTGGACTTTCCAACTGGGCCAGTGGCTGGATAGAAAGTAGCAGGGCAGATGGAAAAACAGGGTGACTGGCTTGTTTCTTAGGAGCTAAGGCTGTGGACACCGCTGTGCTGGCCTGAGTTCACCAAGGCCATCCCTAGGTTCTTTTTCCAGTGGTGAGGATGGGTCATGGGAGGTTCCAAGTCTTGTGACCCAGGCAAGTGAAAAGGCATACAAGTTCTTGGCCCTGGCCCCCCGAGAGTGAGTTCTGACTGCTGGAGTGAACTGCTCCATGCGTAATTAGACATTAAAGGAGACAAAAGCTAGTAACCATCCTCTGTATACTAAGAACAGCTCCTGGCCCCTGGGAGAGAAAGCAAGATGGAGTGGCCAGGGCCCTTCTAGGTCCACGGCTGCCATATTGGCAGGCAATTCAGACTCCCAAGGAGAGAAGTGCTTTATGACCTGTCTGTGTTGATATTTGAAGTTAGACCTCCCAGCCCAGCCTCAGGGAGGCAAGCTGCCAGCCTCAGGGAGATCCCAGGGCCACCCCAATGGGGATGGAGCCTGGGAAACTCCTGAAGAACTGGGGGCTTTGGAGTCCAGTTGTGTTGCCCATCACTAGGAACTCTCAGCTCGGGAAGGTGAGCAGCAAGTGAGGCCACTGGAGGCTGACAAGGCATCCTTTCATCCCCTTGATTAGAAATGATCCGCTCTGCCACACCGTTCCCTCTGGTCAGCCTCTTCTTCATGTTCATCGGCTTTATCTTGAGCAACATTGGACATGTCCGTCCCCACAGGACGATACTGGCCTTTGTCTCTGGAATCTTCTTTATCCTCTCTGGTAAGTTGTGTTGTTTTCTTTTAATGCACACTGAACTTTCGATATTTGACTCCTAAACTCTGCTTTGGGAAGCCCTAGTCACAGCCATGGATTAGCCCCTGGCACTGGAAATAGGACAAACTGAGTCGGTGGCTGAGGCAGAACTGAGTCAGAACTAGAGGAGACGTCCAATGCCCCTAGCCCATCCACTTACCTTATAGAAGAGTGATGGCATGGTGGCTGCAGGCTAGCAGTGACTTGACAAGCTCACCCAGATGGTGAGGCACAGCTGGGATTGGAACCCAGGGCACTTTCCTCCATCCACCACTATAGCCACCTACTTTTAGTTCTCACCAATAATGAGTATTTTTGAAGGGGCTATGTCATACTGCTTTTGCATGAAAAAATAAATGCAATCTGCCTGTGGAATAATGGCCCCTTTGCCTCTCAGCCCTCTATAACCCTCAGGGAGGCTAAGTAAGTTTCCTAACAGAAATCTACTTCTATCCACTAGTTTCCAGAATGGCAAATACTTAGCAGGTTCTCTGTGCCCGTATCCAAGTTGTGACCCAACTGAAATGCAGGTCCTTCCAGCTCTGCAAGATGGTAGACGTTTTGATCCCAGATCAAAAGACTCCTACTGTCCCTTTCACTTTCCAGTCCCACTCCATACCCTGGGCCCTCTTAGGCCTATTCCAACATAGACCTGTGTTCCTGAACTGACATCAGGTTGTCCTTCATCAGTCATTCATTCATGATAGGTAGCAGACCTTAAGTTCAGTGCAGGGGTCACTACCTACAAAGTGTCAGTGTAGCAGGAGATACAAGCAAGGAGACAAGGAACATGGCATGAAAAGTGTTATAACTGCAGTGAGCACCAAGGGAGCCAAGAGCAATGATTGAAACTCAGACCAGGGCTTGGTTAAGGAAGCCTTCCAGGAGAAGGTGAGGGGGAGGATGAATAGGAATTAAACCAAGTGGTGAGGCTGAGGGTAGGGGTAGAGAAAAGGTGTTAAGGAAAGAAAGAACTGAACATAATCATTATTCATTGTGGCTGGAGTGTAAGGAAAATATGTGAGAGGGGATACTAGGGAGGACATCCAAGGCCATCTTTTGAATTTGGGATCTTTGTAAGAAGCCTTGGAAGGATTTTGAGCACTGGGTGGGTGGTACAGCATGATCTAAGGATCACCCAAGAAGGAGCATGTTTGTGACAGAGATTGTGAGCTCAAGGTGAGAAGTATTGAGTTTGAGGTGCTCTTATGACAGCTACAGGTCAGTATCCGAAGCTCATGGGACCAAAGAGAGATTTGGAAGCCATCAGTCTGTGGGTGAGAGAGAGAACCGTGGAAGTTGATGAGGTACTTCTGTGAAGCTTGTGGAGTTAGAAGGAAAGAGAATTCAGTAAGCAAAGGCAGGTTCCTTCTCCCTTTCAAGGTGACTGTGCATTTTCATGGAGATCTTGTCTTATGGAAATAATGACTCAGGCCAAAGGAGTGACTCTCAGGGCATGTATAGTTGCCTTGGCCTGGTTGATTAGGGAGGGGCGGGGAGGAGATGCTTGGATCAAAGATTAGTGGGTGGATGGCTTGAATAATGGATGGATGGATGGATGGATGGATGGATGGATGGATGGGTGGATGGGTGGATGGATGGATACATAAAAAGATGAGAGGTAAAACTGCTGTTGAAGTTAGACCTCCCAGCCCAGCCATTCTGATTGCCACCTGGGGCCCAAGCCACTTTAAGTTCCTTTTTTCAATGTTTTCTCGTTAACATGGCTTGAGAGCCAGGTGGAAATCAGGCTTCCTAATAGCCAAGAGCTGTTCTTCCTTCCTCCTCTTTTCCTTTCCTTCTGTCCTTTCCTCCTTCTCCTCCTCCCTCCCTTACACACATACGGACATACGAACATGCATCTGTCTGTTTTTCAATCCACCCACCTACCTCCCCATCTTCCATCTATTAATCCATCCATTCAGCCTTCCATCGATCCAACAAATATTTATTGAGCTCCTGCAGTGCCTTCAGTCCACCTCCTCTCTGCATAGTAATATTTCCACTGAGACTAAGAGGCACAGACCCAGGGTTAAGGTCAATCTTTATTTTTCCTTCTGTGAACCTCACAGAAGCCACGGCTTTACCATAGCTTCAAGGTATCTATCACTTTTCAGCCATGGGCTTTAAGACCAGAGAGCTAGGCTCAAGATGGACCAGGTGAAGTTGTTTTAGTGATAACAGAGAGAGTTCATCTGAGTCAGCAATGATTCAAACATAAGTGCCGAAGAAGGCTTGAATTACATCTATTTTCCCTTGACATTCATTCTTCAAGATGCCCCAGTTTCATAATATAATATGAATGGTATTAAACCTGAACAGTGCAAAACTGAGTAATTAACTATGTCGGGATTCAATTACAGTTATTAATTGATGGAACCTGATGCCTGAGGCGGTCATTTACACAATGTCAGGTGGAGTCTGGACCCCAGGGACCTCCTGCTTTAGGGCTTGTCAGGGAGTCTGGACAGACTCTCTCCTGCCTGAAAATCTCAGGGGCATCCCCTTAGAAGCAGGGATGCTTTACTCCGCCTCACGTACCTTGGGCTTGCTAACCAGAGGGACCAGTCCTTGGAGAGGGACTTCATGTTAGGTAGAGTAGAAGGTCAGCAAAATAGAGGAAGACCCTCAACAAGTTGGATGGACACGGGCTGCAGCAGTGGGCTCCAAAAGCAATGACTGCGAAGACGGCACAGGACCAGGCGGTGTCTCGTTCTGCTGTATGTAGGGCCACCATGCGTTGGAGCCCACTGATGCACCTAACAACAACAGCCTGGGGTGAGTTGCCATAGTGATGCCACCACCCATTGCCAGAGGGGAAGTCAGTGGCCCTGGCTACTCAGCCAGGGGATCTCTCTTTTCATTTATTTATTTGTTTGTTTTTATTGTGCTTTGGGTACAGATTTACAGAGCAGAATTTGTTTTACATGCACCAGTTTGTGTACATTGGGTTTCACTCCCCAATACCATGCCCTACCCTGACCCACTCTCCTCCCCTCCCTTCCTTGTGAGCCGCCCCCATCTCTGTGCCCTTCTTAGTTATGCACTCCTGTCTGGCCTGCCTTTCCTCCATGTGAATGTTGTTCCTCTGGTGCCCCAATCTCTCTTATTTGTCAATAACAGCCACTTGTTAGCTCAGTGGTCCTCACCTCCAGTTCATACACTACCTAGAGAGCTTTCAGGACAATACCATGCCCAGGCCAGCCCAGGCCAATGAACAGGCATCTCTAGGGGTGGGGCTCAGGCATGGTCTGTTTTAGAAGCTCCCCAGGTGATTCTAGTGGGCAGCTGGGGCCAGAACCACTGGGCTCAGCCCGTGGCTCAGGACGGTGGTTATACATGGAGGTGTCTTACCTGTCACTCTCTGTGAACTAAACTAGTTGCCCTTGAGTTGACCCCAACTCATGGCAAATCCCCAGCTCCTGGTGATGCCGACTAGTGGCAACTCAACGTGGGTCAGAGCAGCACCGTGCTCCGTAGGGATTGTCAATGGCTGATTGTCTGGAAGCAGATCACCAGACCTTTCTTCTGAGGCACCTCTGGGTGGAATCAAACCACCAACCTTTCAGCAAACAGCCCAGCATTTGTGAACCATTTGCACCACCAAGGCCTCCTTCTGCTGCCTTCAAGGTGCGGTTGGAGACATGTTGTCAGCTCTAGCCACGGTCTTCACAAGGAGGAGACCCCCTCCCCTTCTTTGAACTCCCAAATCACAACACCACCTAGATGTGCTCTTGAGCCAGAAGGGGAGGTGGGGACCACGTTAGCAGACCCCCCAGGCCTCTGTTGGCTGAGCTCCCCTTCCCCCTGCCCATACCCAGGCCTCTCTCTCGTGGTGGGCCTGGTGCTCTACATCTCCAGCATCAACGACGAGATGCTTAACAGGACCAAGGACTCAGAGACCTACTTCAACTACAAATATGGGTGGTCGTTTGCTTTCGCTGCCATCTCCTTCCTTTTAACCGAGGTAAACCCATTCCAGTTGTCCTGGGACAGGCTGGGTAGGTGGCTGGGTGTAGCACGGTCTGAATGGGGAGGACAAAGACATTGAACACAAGTCCTACACTCACTCCATCTGCTTCCTTCCTTCCTTCATCCCCGGAAGGTCGCTCTTTCACCTTCCTCTGTCTCCTCCACCCAGGTGTCCCCAAGGCTCCCTGCTCCCATCCACTGCCCATCCCACTGCAGCCCCTGCCAGGGCTGTATCCTGTGCAGTGCTGGCCACCTGGGGGAGCGAGGCCAGGCTCCGAGCAGTGAGTGAGCTCACCTCTGCTTTCTCCTCCCTGCAGAGTGCTGGGGTGATGTCCGTGTACCTGTTCATGAAGCGGTACACTGCAGAGGACATGTACAGGCCTCACCCCAGTTTCTACCGCCCACGTCTAAGCAATTGCTCCGATTACTCGGGCCAGTTCCTACACCCGGATGCCTGGGTCCGGGGCCGCAGCCCCTCTGACATCTCCAGCGACGCCTCCCTGCAGATGAACAGCAACTACCCAGCCTTGCTCAAGTGCCCCGACTACGACCAGATGTTGTCTTCCCCCTGCTGAGCTAGGCTGCCTCTCTTCCTGGACTGTGGATAGCCGGACAGCCCCTCTAGTGCTCCCCTGCCTGGCCCATGAGTCCAGGCCTGCGGTTGACAGGCCCAGGCCACCCCATGCTTAGCCCTTGTTGCTTGACCCCATCTCCCTGCTTCCCCCAAAGTAGCTGTAATCACCACCAGAGAGTGGGGGGTCGGAAATCTGGGGCCAGCAGGCAAGCTGGCTCAGAGCACGGGTGTAGCTCAACCTCTTGGGTGTCAATTAGAGCCTTGGCCCCAGGAGCCAGTGGCTCTCCCATGGCTGGGGTAGTGGGTGCTCTGATTGTGTATTCCTTCCTGCACACCCAACTTCACGGCCTTGAGCCAAGCCCAATGCTGAGATGCCAAGTCCCTTACACAGGCCCAGTTGGACCTGTGAGCTCACCAACTGGCATGGCCCCCTCTTTCGTGACCTGGGCCTTTGGGCCAAAAGGTGACTTTGACATGGAGGCCTGGCTGGTTGTGAACCATCCAGTGGAAAGTGTTCCTTGTGACACCCTTTGTCCTTTTCCATCACCACATCCTTCCATACAACACACATATCTGGGCCCTCTACCTCCCACCCACAGGCTGGTCCCTCTATCAGCTTCAGCCAACTCTGACCCTGTCTTCCGCTCCCCCTCCCACCAGAACTCATCTGTCCTGGGCCCTGTCCCTAAGGGGCTAGAGGGTAGGTCTGAGGCCACTCTGAAGTCACAATGAGGTGTTAATGGCTGATCATGTCTTAATATGTATGACCCCTTTCCTAACATATTTAACGGGGTGTCTATAATGCCTTAACCCAAAGAGGTGACCTGACATGAGAATTTCAGAATCTGGCTGGTCTGAGTTAATACTACCAGGCACTGTTTTAAGCCCTGGGGATACTGCCCCTCCCTCATGGAGTTTACCAGGGCAGTGTTTCTAGTTTAAGGCCCTAAAATCTAATCCTGCAGACAGATGTCTCTACCAACTTTTAGAAGAGACTGCCTGAGATTTGGAGCTGGAGATGGAATACCTGGTGCATTTTGAGCCTAAACAAGCCAGACCCGGAATGACCAGCATCTCTCCCGAGGATGCTGTGAACACTGAGGAGATGCCAATCCAATCCTGATAAGCTTTCTGAGTGTGGGACCACACCTGTTGCTGTCAAGTCCATTCCAACTCATGGCGACCCCATGCGTGACCCAGCAGAACTGTGTTCCATTGGGGTTTCTTGGTTGTAATCTTTATGGAAGCAGATCACCAGCCCTTTCTTCCGTGGTGCCGCTGGGTGAGTTCAAACTGCCGACATTTAGGTTAGCGCCCAAAAAACAAACCCATTGCTGGCGAGGCAGTTCCAACTCCTAGCGACCGTGTAGGACAGAGTAGAACTGCCTCCCGGGATCTCCACAGTCTGAAGCAAACTGCCATATCTTTCCCTCGTGCAGAGACTGGTGTGTTCTGGTGCTTAACCACCACACCACCAGAGTTCCGTCAGGTTAGTAGTCTAGTGCCAACCATTTGCACCATCCAGGGGCCTGAGTGTGGGACACAGGGAGGCAGACCAGATGCCTTCAGGGGTCTGGGCAGTGATGCTTGTTTTCCTGGGAGGAAACCTGAGCTAAGGAGGGAGGAAGAACCTTCCATGAAATCTGGGGGGGAATGGAAGTCCAGTTCTCCAGGTTGTACCTTTCTGTTTTGAGATTGTGAGCAGCAAAGCCACTCCACACACTGTTGGCTGTGTGCTTGTGCTGCGGCAGCCTCTCCCCCACTCTCCTGAAGAGCCCGTTAGGCTCTTGGTGCACAAAGCCACAGTAGGCAACAAGCGTACCCAAGAAATGACTCCGGGAACAGCACCTGTGGAGGGGGGATGTTCCCCTTGACTCACAGCCTGGTTGAGGAAGAAGAGAGAAGAGAAGGCAGTCCCAGGCACAGGTTAGCACTGCCTTGCGGTGCATCCTTGCACTAGCCCTCTCTCCTCAGGGGCTTGGCCTAAATTATTTCATACCCATCTTCCATACGCCCACACCCAACGCTAAAGGTTCAGTCTCACGTGGGAAGTTCCAGGTTGCTCTCATTCAACCCTTGCCTATCAACAGACACCACTGTCCACTGCCATCAAGCCAACCCCGACTCCCAGCGACCCCTGCACAGCCACACGAAGTACTGCCTGGTCCTGCGCCTTCCCCACGATCAGGTACGGCTTGGACTGCTGTGATCTGTGGGATTTCCTTGGCTGGTTTTCAGAAACAGATTGCCAGGCCTTCCTTCCTAGTCCAACTTAGTCTGGAAGATCCAGTGAAACCTGCCTGGTATCATAGCAACACGCAAGCCTCTACTGACAACGGATGGTGGCCGCGCATAAGGTGCATTGGCCGGCAATCGAACCAGGGTCTCCTGCACAGAAGGTGAGAATTCTCCCACTGAGCTACCACTGCCTCCTGTAAATGGATAGCAAGTGTCAACCCCTAGCTCCCTCATCGCTGCTGCCCTAGGCATGACTCTTGTACTCTTTGGTTACTGCTTGCAGAAGAATGTTGAAACCACGTTCCCCCTGGAGCAAAGGCCTCAAGTGCCAAGCCCATGAGTGCACTTGGAGACCATTTCATAGCATTTCCAAACTGGAGTATTGGTTCAGAGCCGCTTTACTCCCATTTGTGTCGATGTAATTCGCTGACGTGCACCCTTCTGTCTCTAAAGCACTCTTTCACTGTCCCCAGGTCAGGCTTGTTTTTGTGCACCTGGGAAATAGAGACCACTGTTCATACGAGCTGATTGTTGACTGTGCCATCATCAGGACGGGACTTTGCCCGCCTGGATTCAGAGCTGCTAAACGTAGCGGCCCTTAACTGGGAAAGAGCAATTTGCACTTATCTTCGGAACAGGTTCCGGTTACCTGCCTTCCCTGCAGCTGAATGGGAGAATGCATCAGTAATTGTGTGACCATTCAGTCTATGAATTACTCTCAGACCTCTTTGCAGGGTCTCACTGATTGAAAGATTTTCATAAATCATTGACGTGTATAAACTCAGTTCAGAAACTGTAAATTACAATCCCTTTCCCAAGACACTGACTTCTTTTGTTTCCTTAAGAACTTAAAAAAATACGAAACTGATGGGATTTTATATTTTGCTCTCAAAAATGAGAGGAGAAAGACTGGAAAATAGTGAAGACCACTCGGGGCTACAAGCTGGGAGGTGAGGACAGTTCTGACTGGTTTCCTCTCACCTGGAACCTACCACCCTCCTTGTACCCCAGGGTGAGCCAGTGACGATGCCCTGCCTCACGCCTAACAGCACTACACGGCCTTCAAAGAACTGGCTTGTTATCTGAGCTGGGCACAGAGTTGAGGGGTAGAGGAGCGGGGGCAAATCCGATTAGCAGCAATGCTCCCAGAAGAACACGTGCGGAGGAGCCCCCTCCTTACTGTCTGAGCAAACTCTCCCTTCTTCCTAAATAAATATATCTAGAGGGTGGACAGAGGTGCTCTGGTGCTCTTTGGCTGCTACCTAAAAGGTCAGTGGTTCGAACCCATCAGCCGCTCCATGAAAGAAAGATGAAGTAGTCTGCTTCCGTAAAGATTTACAACCTTGGAAACCCTGTGGGGCAGTTCTACTCTGTCCTCTAGGCTTGCTATGAATCAGAATTGACTCAGTGGTAGTGGATTTGGTTTTCTGGTAGAGGGTGGACAAGGCTAGGGGAAACAAAACCTTAAAAAAACTATTGGCATCAAGTTGATTCCAACTCATGGTGACCTCATGGGTATGGAGTAAGACTGCACACCATGGAATTTCAAAGCTAAGACCTTGCAGAAGCAGATTGTCACAGTAGTGTCACTAGGATTGGTGTCACACAATGTGGTAACTCATGGTGCCACCCCCCCTTGGACCTCTTCCCAGATCAGATCATACAGAATCCTTAATAATGTTAACTATCAATTTTAATCATAGAATAATATGTGGTACATATAATTGTACATTGCTTTAATGTAATATTTCTTAGATCATATGAATACGAACAACACAATTGTTTTGTAAGACATTTCAACGTTGAATTACGTTATTTGTTACATTATTAGTAACTGAACAGAAGCCTTTTTTTATTTTCTCCTTTTCCTTTAATTGCTACATTCTCAAACTCATAAACACTAATTAACACAATATTGTAGCTGAAACACTAGAAAATTTGACAATATCAAAGACTATAAAAACACCATCAGTAATGAAAACAGCATTTGCTCACAGTACACGTAGACAAATTTGAAGCATCGTTGTAACTGGGTACTAATGACAACTCTGAAGGTTCAAAAAGTAAATTAGCATAGTGTTTTAGCCTTGTGGGTATATTGATACGTGTAAGCTGGGCTTACCAAAAAATGTTCTTGTTGTTTTGACTAACTCTAGGGATATTTTTATTAATAAACAAATAAATAAATGTCTACTGAAACACTGCCCCACAGTTTTATAGACAGTCATTTTGGTGTCCCCCCTCTGACCGTGTCAGCCAGTGCAGTCCGACACCCTGGGGATGCCATTGGATTGCCAGTCCTTTCTTCCAAGGTGCTCTGTGTGGACTTGAACCTCTTAACTTTTGAGTTAGCAGCCAAGTGTGTTAATCATTTGTACCACCCAAGCAAAAAACAAAACAAAAAAAACACCTATTGCCATGAAGTCGACTCTGACTCCTGGTGACACCGTGGGTACAGAGTAGAACTGCTCCATCAGGTTTGCAAGTGATGGCCTTTTTGGAAGCAGATTACCTGGCCTGTCTTCCAAGGTACCTCTGGGTGGGTTTGAACCATCAGCCTTTCGGTTAGTAGTTGAAAGCTTAACTCCTTGCAGCACCCAGGGACGCCTTAAGATCTGAGCAGACACAGCTGCACCTCCAGCGGTAGGGAGGGAAATGGCCTTCATGAGCCTCATTCACAGGCTGCCCACTCAGCGGAGCTTGTCTGTCCTCCGAGTACACAGAGCCCGGGTGCAGTTCCCAGGAGCCTTGCCTTTTCTCCCA